TTTCTTGAAGCGTCTTGGAGACGTTGCCACAGTTCTTCTGGATTGAGTCTGTCTCAGTTTGTTCTGTTTCTTTATGTCATTCCACACAGACTGGATGATGGTGAAATCAGATCTCTGTGTGGAGCACTGGCTGCTGTCAGACTCCTTGTGCAAACAAAAATCTCACTGGATTATTATAATTAATGGCAAAATGAATGTTTGGAAGTGTAAACTGATATTTCCTACTGACACACTACAGCAAAAGATAGAAATAACTGACTTAAAACCATTTTTTTTGGTGAAAATACTAATGGCCTAAGACTTTTGCACAGTACTGTATATTAATAATCTGGACGATGCCACTTATTTTGTTTTCGATACGATACCGATATTTTTCAAGGCAGTATCGTCGATATCGATACCGATATGATACTTCTGAACTAAACTTTTAAATTATGAAATTTATGAAATTATTAAATTACTAAGAGTAAAATGGGTAATGATAATCACTTAACGTTTTGTTTAAAACGCATTTTAACATTCAATATGCCTTAATGGTAACTTATTAGGTTATATTTTTTGTTTACACATGGTTAAAATATGTTTTTTGTTTACAGATGATTCAAATCTACAAATACTACAGTTGAACTACGGTCACTTTAGTAAAACCATGGTTCATTTTCATAAGGGACTGAAACCCCAACAGTGCATACGTGTTAAATCAGCACTATATATTACAGAGTTAAACATGTTAAAGCAAATGTTTCTTATTCTCTCTCTTTTTTTTATCTCTGTCAGGAGTTGAAGCCTACAGCCTTTCTGTCCATGCAGCAACTGATGGAAAAGGGGGTCTTTTTTTATGATGTTGTATTATGTGTTATTGCAAAAATGAGTATATACAGTATATAAATATGCATTCTTGAATCATTCTTGAGTCTTGTGTCTTGCCTCTCTACAAACTTTTACATATCTAGCTGTAAATGCTGCTGATTTAATTTGATTCCATCTTTATTATACCTGACAATGAGCTAGTTAAACTTAAGGGGGGCTAATCAATATACAGTATATTTCAAGAAACTAAGACTTAAGGTACTCCACTTTTTCAGTTGTTTAAAGACTGAAATACATTTTTCATTTATATTTTAAGTGTAAATTCATTTAAATTTAAAATTGTTAACTCAAAGCAGGTATTACACACTTTGTAATTAACATCTGATGCATTTATAAATCAAAAATCACAATTTAAATAAAAAAAATGTTCCTGAGATTCAATATCTTTAACAACAATGTACAAACATTACTACAAACTAAACCACCAGGGTCCCAGAAATGCGGTCCTGAAACTGCAGCCTCCGCTATATTATCCAATTCGGTAGGTGGCGCTGTTACAAAAGAATAGGGTCCTAGAACTGTGGTCCTGAAACTGCAGCCTCCGGTTGTGCAGGAACACCCTTCTCAAAAAACGCGATATGTGAATGACCCCTAACGTTACCACAGA